ACAAAGAACACCCCATAATTCCCAGTAAAATTCCCAGTAAAAAAGAGCTCTCTCTTCCGATACAAATACAAATCAAAACAAAAACTACACACCAATTTATTTAGATCATGTTCCACGTGTAATTAGGTACTTATATTAACTAGTTCATTTGGTTCTTACATTTATATTTTGCTAAATAATAATAATAATAAATTTTTTTATTTATATCCCGCCTCTCTGTATAACAATCGAAGCGGCGTACATCAATTAAAAAGAACAAGTTAAAATCACAACCCTGACCCTGCCCTCCCCCCTGTAAAACAGAATTAAACTAATTGAGAATTAAAACATGAATATAACAGTTAAAACAAAACAAAACAAAAATTGACAGGGGGACACGTCATGGCGGTCAAGGATCAAGCCAAAGTCACCATTTCTTGATCAGGGAGATGTTCCGGGAAGGCCTGCCGGAAAAGATCTGTCTTTACTGCCTTTTTAAAGGCAGCCAAGGTAGTAATATGACGGATCTCATCCGGCAGGCCGTTCCAGAGTCTGGAAGCAGTTGCGGAAAAGGTCCTCTGGGAGGTCTGCGAGAGCCTGGTCTAAAGAACACAAGGTAGCCTATCTGTTTGTTTTTTAAATCATCAGAGTGTGAACTACTTTGCACTTTGAATTCAATTTGCACCAAGAGAAGCAAGCTGAGGACAAAGGGAGAAAGTTTGAGGATGAAAGAGAAACTGGGACATTTTAAAAGCAGCTGACAAAGCAGGAAGACAGAGGATTAATCATGATTGTCTCTGCCAAACAGGGACAATGAGAGGGTATGCCATATGAAGCTACTTTGAATGACCTTGCCTTGGGTCATGCCTTACAATATGGCCTTTGTGGGGGCACCCATGTTGTGGAATGCCATCTTCCCCAAAAGAAGAGAGAAGGTGCTGGGATGTTATTCATTTGGCACCATTTGTCCAATTGTTCAGACAGGAAGTTAAAACTGATTTATATAAAAAACTATGAGGCTTGCTTTGCTGCTGTCTTAGTGTTTTGCCTATTAAGTTTCATCATGTCACCTCTGCGTGTTGCTTCTGGCTACCTTTTGCTCAAAAGCACCCTTGAAGGCTTTCATGGTGAAAAGCTGACTAAAAATCTGAACCAAACCAAACCAAACCAAAAACAAAACAAAGCATCTTCAATGTTAAAATGTATATCCTGCTCTTCATCCCAGCAGGCAAAATCATTTGTCCTTCAGACACTGTAATGCTGCCTATAAAGAGGAAGCAAAGAATAACCATGAGAGTCCAGATCAGGGGTAGGCAACCTTTCCCCTTTAAGGGCCAAGGGACTTCATCTCCCAGAATCCCAGGAGCTATTGGCTAACATGGGACTATTGGCCAACATGGCTGAGGCTTCTGGGAGCTGAAGTCCCTCGGCCCTTAAAGGGAAAAGGTTGCCTACCCCTGGTCCAGATCATGGCAAAAGGTAGTCACATCTACCGCTTTCTAAAGGTCAGCAAGACTGGCTCCTAGGTAATTGTGCATATGGTTGTGAGCTAATTTAAATAAATTTCTGAGAAGACAAGGAGTTGGATGTGCTTGTTGGAAGAGGCACTTTCCAGGGGTGAGGTAACAGGCTGTTGTACAGTGTATACTACAAGTTACATTTTGTTTTCATATATCCATTAGCAAGCACACAAAAAAGACATGTCAAAGCAGCCTGTTGATTACAATGCATTTCTAACAAACAACCTAGAAAGCATATGTGAAGGCATAATGGAACAAGTTAAAATAAAATGTAAGAAGGCCACAGGGAACCAGAACTAATGTTTTCATGTACATCCTACATTTAAGTTCATTTTGTAAAAGGGGGAAAAAGACACACACACACACACACACACAAAAAGAAGGCCAAAACCTAAATGTTATAAAATCATGCAGGCCACAAAATGGGCTGCTAAGCAACAACAGTCCAGGCAGGATTCATTAGCATTACTTCTGCCATTAGAAAGCCATTTCCGTTGGAAACTATGAGGAACTAAACAATCACTATTTTGTATCCTCCATATGACCCAGACAAAAGAAATCAAACTGAGTGTACTGTCAAACATATCCAGCTCAGGCACAGATGCTGTCTGAAAGCCCTAAATGGCTTTATAAAGCAGAACAAAGAGAAAGGAAGTGACAGGGATTTGCCATTATGGATATCCCAGACCCTTTTGTTTTGTTCTCCCTAATTAAAATTTACAGTGATCAGTCATTGAAATAATGCAAAAGTATCCAACCAGTCCAATAATCCATTCTTGGATGAGATCATAGCAACAACAGTATAGGAAAACTAGTCTCAATCTAGATAGAGTTGCATGCATCATCAAAAACCTTGGTAAGGGGTCCAGATTCAAAATCAAGATGGATTAGGAGTTAGCCAGGAATCAGCTGGTTAACCTAAATGAGTTGAAATCTGCAGAGTATTCAAGGGAAGAGACATTTGAATATTTGAAGGAATCCTGAAGTCTAGTCTAATTATAGAATGGATAGCCATAATACCTACCCAAATTTTTCAAAATTTTGTTTCTTCCTCCCCCCCCCATCC